ACAAATGGGGTTGTCATCGTGGTTGTAACACATGCGGTATCAAATCCAAAAGCCATATCAGTTGAGTCAAATTTGCTGATACCTTGATCTGCACCACGTGTTTTCATGCCCGAGTTTAAATTTTGTTCTGCATCGGATGGTAGGGTGGGACTCGAAGTCCTATGCTTTTCGACTAACCACTCTCCAATGAAATGCCAAGAAATCGGCGTTTGTTCGCTTACGGCTGCCGAATCAGTGCTGTCAAATTCTGCGGTATCCTGCTCTGCACCTGCATTCCAGCTTAAGCTCATATTTTGACCACAGCCCGAGCTCATGCTTTCATCCTGACCACAATCCGTAAGTAAGCATACATCTTGAACACAGCCCGATCGTGAGCTCAGGCCCTGACTGTAATCGCAGTGTAAACTCATAACTGGGTCGAAACTCCATACCGTGTTGCTGTATGCCGAAGCCAGATCTGAAATCTCATCCTCTTCAGCCAAGCATCTTTCAGTGACCCCTTCCGAATTGCGATAAATGCAGGGTTTTTCAGGTTCAGCTTGCAAATCCATAAAATCCAGTTTCTTGTCACTACCCTCTGCAGCTGAGTTCCAGCGTGGGCATGGAGTCCAGCATGAATCTGCTATCCCCCAGTTCATTAACAGGCCTGGAGCAGAAGTTTTATCCTTTTCGGCCAGCCGTCCTGCAGTCAACTGTGCCAGTTGACGTCCAGTGTAGATCTTTTCTGGCTTATTCAACAAATCCGTAAAATCGCCTTCTAGGTCTGATTTCCTATGTGAGTTTGAAAAATTACCAGAATCCAATTCTATACTATCAAGTGCTAGAGTTAAACACATGGTCTCATGTTTTTCGGTCAGTTGCCCTTCAGCAAACTGTTCCAGCCGACGATGACCACTGGTTCCTTCAAGGCCACCTGAGGAGTCTAAACTATCCGGTTCCTTGACATCTTTTGCTCCGCCTGATCTGTGATAAGTGTTTGGACACGATTCGCCGTTATTCGATAGAGACCAATCCGAAGCTATACGCTTTTCGATTAGCCATCTGCTGCTCGACTGTTCCAGCTGATAATGGACATTGGTTTCTTTAAGTTCAGCTGGCGAATCTATGTCAAGGAATTTCTTGACGTCCCGTCTTCTGCCTGAATTGTGATAGATATCTGTACGTGAACTTGAATCTGATTCACTGTCTGGTAATAGAGGCGAATCCGCAGTTAGATGCTTTTCGGCCAACCACGCATTAGTGAACTGTTCCAGTTGCAGCTGAAGATGGTCGCTGATTCCTTCAAGTCCAGCTGGCGATTTTGCAGTGTCGAATTTTTCTACGCCTTGTTCTCCGTCTGATCTGCAATGGATCTCTGGACCTAAGTTTAAGTCTGATCCGCTGTAAGTCGGTAGAAGCAAATCCACAGCTAGATGGTTTTTGACCAACCACGTTTCACAGTACTGCTCCAATTGCTGCTGAAGATGGTCGTCGGTTTCTTCAAGTCCTG